CTACTATAATAGGCATTTTTAAAATTTCTTCAAGAAAACCATGTATAGCTTTTTCGGAACAGAGAGGTGGGTGTCTGTATATTCTGGCAAAGGGAGGATTTTGAGGCAACGACAGCCTGGAGACGGAGTGGAATGTGGGCACCGCTAGATTGTCCGAGTACAATACTGTCCGGTACTAAAATGTGACTATACAGCGTCCAGGAAAACACTATTGCAAAAAGCAAGAAGTCTGTGCTGTACAAACAGAGTATAGTACTATATTTTACATATCTGTCAGCTATAATATGCATGTGAAAATATTTTAAGCATCTACTACTTAACTGCATATATCTGTATACTGTGCATTTCGCCTGGCATGTCCGTCAATACAGTTCAAATATTTCCCGTCTGTATGCTTCTGAATTTTGCAGACGAAATTCTCACATCCCGATACACAAGCGGAAAATCACCAGGAAAGAGTCATGCGCCATGATAAACCATTACGTCGAAAAAAAAAGCAACTTTTAAAAGTAGTCATTGCTTTGGCAACAAAAAGTCACTGATAAGCTCCCATCCAGGCACATAGGGTCACATTATAGTTCGCTGTCTTCTAGGTTAACATCAGTAAGGACAGAATATGAGTGTCTTTCATGAACGTAGCAAATTTTACAGGTGGTAATGAATTGACAGAATGCACAATTTTAATTGGAATACTATCGTGACCTTAAAAATATCCCATCTGGCCGATTCAGCTTGAAGCCTATTAATTATTGGTTAGGATTCTTTTTTCAGAATTTAAGTGACATGATGATTTTTCATAGAAAGTTTGAACAGACACTGAGCTGTCATGCTGATAAATAATCCTTAGTGTTCTGTGACAAAAAAGATCTGCGCAACTAGCTATATTTCTACAGGATATCGTCTACAAATCCTTTCGTTTTTATAATGCCAGTATAATAGAGACCTGGGCACACTCCCGTCTCTGCCCTGATCTGACGATGCGTGTTCACACGCGTGTGAATAACACGTTACACGTAATGCACAGAGGCCAGCAGGGGATCTTCACGAGAAGCCAGGGCATCTGAAAAACCAGGTGCTCCATATCTGAGTCACCATCCCCCCAACAGGGTCCGATCCTCCAGTAAAAATGCACGACTTTGTCATGTGCTGTCTATCGGCCAATGAGGAGCAATCATGAAAATGCACAGATTCAATTATGAAACCATGCATTTACATTTACATAAAATAATATTTGCAGGCAGTCTGTTATTTGCTGGTTGCTATTTAAAGATGACAATGGACTATATTTGTTGTAAATAATATTGTTTCTGAGACACTCTGCAGACATTTTAAGGTTTTAAGTCAGAAGCTACTGTGGAATATTTCTAACCTAGCCTGGCCTCCTGTGTTTTTATTTTAAGCAATAATGCGCGTCACTGGTGCTCTCAATTAGCATATTTTCAAAAAGATCATGTTTTCTCCTTTTTCCTTTTTGATATATTTGGCTGTTAAATACAATACCTTCAACTGTTTATAATACTTTATATACAACCTGTGTCTTTTTTTACTGAAAGCTAAAAATTATATTACACATTACGTAGGTCAAGCTATATATTCAATACGTAAATATCAAAAAAGTTTACTGAACCCCAAATAAAAACACAGTATAGACACTGGCACCAGTTCTCACATATAATTTGACTTAATTTGATACAATTTAATATCAATAAATCTCAATATGGGTACAGAACCAATTAAATATCGCACTTGCAGTACAAAATGCATCATTGTGGCTAATTCCTACCCATAGTCTGCATTATGCTAATCTTGTTAGCTGACTGACGTACTTGGGCAAATGTATACAGAAGGATACATGCTTTTTTAGGACCCACCTGTCCTGTTCAGGGTCATGGGGGGTCTACAGCTCATAGGCACAAGGCAGGGAACAACTGAGGAGGGGCACCAGCCCATTGCAGGGCACACTCACACACTCACACACACTCACTCACACACCTACACACCATTCACGCCTACAGACAATTTGGTAACACTTAGCCTCAGCATGTTTTCAGAGCATAGGGGGAACCCGGAGTACCTGCAGGAAACCCTACAATAACACAGGAGAACATGCAGACTCCATGCGCATGGAACCCGAGCAGAGACTCAAACCCTGCTTCCCAAAACGTGGGGCAACAATGTTAACCACTGCACCACCACACCACTCTACAGCAAAGACGTTCTCAAAATTTTCAGCGAAAAAAGAGACATCAACCAACACAGAATCCGTACTCGGTCCGTAGTGCTGCTACCAAACAGCCTGAGTAAATAACACTCTGATGGTGTTACTTTAACGTCAGTCTAAGTCAGGCTGACAACAGAGCTTGACAGGCTCAAGGGGATAATCTTATCTGTCACCATGGCAACAGCTATTTTTGATTAACCTTAAATTGCAACGCAGCTAAACAGCAAACAAATTTCCCAGTCACTTTCCGTACATCCGCCGGCAGAAGCCAGAGATAGTAGTTGCCAAGAAACCAGACCACATATAAAAAATATGGAAATCAATTTCGTAACCCATAAAGCACTCAGACGAGTGCATGTGCTAGATTACTCATAATGTAGAAAAAAAACTGTTTTCCAAAACTCTTCATGTCCTCTTTATTTAGAACTGAGAATGCCAAATATTTAAACTAGTAGTAATCATACCTCAGATATGCAGTGTTTGATTAAATATTACATATAGCTGGAAAAAAAGATCCCCATTATAATTCAGAAAAAAAATAATCTCTGCAGCTGTTTAAGCATATTATTTATCCTATTTTCCATTCAGATAGCAATGCACGTTTTGTTGATTACGTATCTGGAGCAGAACAATACTAGGGCCAACAGTAACTTCCTGTTTACCCAACACTGTCCTATATCACAGTGCTTCCCAACCCGGTCCTCAGGAACCTCCAAACAGTTCATGTTTTTGCTCTCTCGCAGCTCCCTGCCAGACAGTGCACATTTTTGCTCCCTCTGCTATATTGTGAGGGCAGCTGCAAAAAAGATATCACCCCCCCACACACACACTTTTACTATAATACCTGCTAATTTGTAATTGCTGATTCTGAGGAACGTAGCACCTAAAGCAGACCTGGGGAAAACTGTTCAGCCGTACTGAGCATTTTACGAGAACCACATATTTGGTATGTCGAGTTAAGTTATGCTAAAATGTGTGTTTGCTATGCAGTGCACCAGTTCTGTCTCTGTGGATGTTGCATTCATACCAATAAATACATTGTGCTGTGAAAATATACCACTTATTTCGAAGCTAGCATTAGTGCTCAGTGATAATGGCAAAAAAAAAATAAACGGCTGGCGATAAATAACTAATGTGCCAGTTGCCATCTTCACTGGTTCACTGCTTCACTGGTTCTGGGCGTTAAAGAAAGATGCAGGTGGGTTTCTTCAGCTATGGATCAAGCTGATTCATGACACCAAAAATAAACACAAGGTCACCCACCTCACCCCTGCCTCGTGCCCCGTGTCTCCTGGGGAGGCGCAAAACTTGGTGACCCGGCGCCAGGTAAGTGAGTTTGAAAAATGGATGAACAGATCAGTGGATGAATGGATGGATAGACGGATAATTGCTGTACACCCGTCTTTAAAGGAGAATCCGTATACATCCGGGTGCGTTGTGATTTTATGCATAACTGACGCTCCAGTGGGAACAGAACTTGACCATCTATGTATCTGCATGTCTGCAGAGATACGCTTCGCACTGTGCCATACAGTATATTATTATATATCTGGAACAGCACTACGTGACTATCTCACACCCACACGTACAACTAAAGGCAGCCATGTCTGTTCCCAAGGAGACCCGGGGCAGAGTCCTGATGGACACAGCGATGAGGAGAGCATGGTTAGCAGTGCAATGCAGTGTCTCACAGTGCCATATTATATACGAAATGCGACGGAGAATACAATAGCATGACCAAAACTGTCATATCATGTAGTGTCATTTCAATTTACCATGATTTAAACAAGTAATTCTATTGCATGTAATCGCATGCAATTACGTATTAGTAGAAACTAGCTGCTTCTCTAGTACTGTCTAAATCTTCGGAAGAGAAGCAAAGCCTATTCCGGTCACATGAACGGCGTTTGCAGCACGGCGATGAGAATTCAGATGAAGCAGCCAGATTATACGCATGAATCATTGATGCACTGCAAAGAGGGGTGTATTCTGAGACGGCACGGGGGGCCGGGGGGAATTCAGCGCAATGCCAGGCTTCCCGGGGGGGATTCAGATATGTCACGATTGGTCCAATCGCTGCTGCAGCACTGGTGTGGAAACACGCCGTGGCGTCTCTCTCTGTAACTGAGGACGGCACCTTATACTTAACGTGAGCGACGGAGAACCGCGTTAACGCTGACACGTTGGCGTCTAATAAAGAATAGGGCGCTGCAATAATCGCATTTCCACTGTTTGATTTAGAGGTCCCTTCCTGATGTGTGACAAAAACCTACTGGAAAAAAACACGACTGGGAGACATGATTAGTCATCCAATCTGTTCATATTCATATGATATTATTATTAACAACCCACAGATCTAATATATAATTATGCCTACAATGTATTCTTCGCGATTATTTTTTTTCCTAATATAAAACATTTTATTCCTGAATATGTTAAACATCTTTTTACCCAAAACGACTGATTTAGACAATTCTGGTCGACTTAAATTCGTAAAATCTGGCTGTTTATGTACACACAAAACACCTGATTCTACGGAACAGGAGAATTAATGCATAGTTCCCAATACCGGTCTGGAAGTAACTGAATATTAACGCGTTTGTTGTGTCGCTTCAAAACACATATTGCGACTTAATTCCTGCACCAAAAAAAAACGAATCTATGCGTCAACAGCTTGCAATTTGAATAAAGGTATTTTAAATGGCATTTTTGATGGGGGAAGAGATAAGAGTAGTTCTAAGCGTTATGGATCTTAAATGGTCGCTCGTTTCCTACGAACCAGGTTCGTGCACCCCCGGGTTGTCGGACATCTCCAGCACCAGGAGCTCCCTCCCTTCGAAGCTCTCGCCGATGGTGTAGATCCGGCTGATGGTGGGACACTGCAGCCATACCGACACTAGGGACTTCCTCAGCTCCTCGTAGCGGTGGTACTCGAACGAAATGCCCCCGTCTTCGGCGAACCTCTCATCCGCACTCGCACGCTTCTCCTCTCCGCATGACAGCAGCGCCAGAGTCCCGCACAAAGCGATGAAAAAGAGCCGCTTCATGTCTGCGATGCCGATCGCCCTGCCGAGTGTGACGGATGACTCCCCGGTCTCCTCTGTCCTCTGCCCGCTTAAGGATGCGCTTTACTACCCGTCTGCACGCAACTAGGACAACATTGCGCATTGGCTACACGGAGCGCTGAGGTGCCCGGGCGCTAGAAACGGGAGGGGCGCGGCTTCGGGGGCGGCGTCTAATGTAAATGGATCAAAAATAGCCTCTAAAATGATCCGCTGGAAAGTGCCTTGTAATATGCATCTAGTGGAATACGACTATTATTGCATAAAGAATATCAACCATCCGCAGGATCCCGAAATTCATATAGGCTACGTTAGAAATACATTATAGATTAGGTGATATGACCATTTAAATATATACCTTTTAACGATTACGTTTATGTTCTGCATGTGTTTTGATGTTTGAATCTGATATAATCAGTGACTTAATTAATATATTATTTTTGTAAGGTTATTGCTTTGTTCGTGGTATAACACTTCCGCTAGGTTTGTGATTATATTGATTTCTACAGATGACGTCTGTTTGAGATAGGCTACCTTAGCCCAATGGCTGCCCTAGTCAATTTTTGACTTATTTTTAATTGCTGCCGGGTTGAAATATAAGCAATTATCAGTGATTTATATTAACCAGTACGTTGTCAGCATTTTCATTTTTATTCAGTAATGTGGATCTCTGAACCCTGCCTCTGGTTTCTTACCATCTTTCGTATTTTTAAAGCATCACCTTCATGTGACGAAACATATTCCATTAGTAACGATCTTTTTTCTGAACCGAATCACATCCGAACGATCCCATTTATCTGGGGTAGCCGTCGACAGCGGGATTCTGCTGCCAAAGCACTTAACAAATCAACTGCATCGGCCCTTTGTCCTTATAAAAAATAACGTATTGAAGCATTCGATTTAAATAACCTCTTTTCCGGTCAGGATCACTGTGATCTGGAGCCGGTCTTAGGACGTGTAGGGCATTAAGTATTCAAGGACAATGTTCGTACATATAGTTATATAACCATTTAGACCCATTGTACGCTTCATAACCATATTCCACCAGGAAGTACACATGGAACTCATTCCCTGACACCGACGCGAACCCCAAATCGCTCGAGGAGGCCGTCACCAAGAGTGTAGGTTTGGATTCAACATTGGTGTGGACGAAATAAGGCTGAACCCCCCCCCAAAAAAAAATTAAATAAAATAAAAAATACCATATTGGTAGAGAGAGGTTCATACTCACATCTACACCCTTGACCAGGACATAAATGTACAGGATGAGAAATACAAAACAGGGCAGTAGCCATAAATATATTTTGGTGGGGGTCTGTCAGCCCTGCTTATAGCCCCCCCCCCCCTGTAATTTCACTACCTGTCTCTGTCTCTGCTCGGGATCTGTAAACCTGTAATTCCACTATGCGGCTACACTCTCAGAATAAATGGGGACCAGTTTGTACCTTTGCTTGTCACTGGGGCTGTACCTTACAATTCTTACCTTTTAAGGTACATAAATGGACCCCACAAGGTACAAACAACATTAATGTGCCCCCAATGGTATAAAAACGTTCCTCGGTGTCCATTTCTGTACCTTAAAAGGTACAATTACCTACAGCTAAGGGTACAATTGGCAGACCTTTGAGGGTACAGCCCAGTGACAAGCAAAGGTACACATTTTTGTTGTTTTTTCTGAGAGTGTATGTGCCTGATACAGAATTTGTAAATACAGGCTCTGCCTTTATCCCTATATGCAAACACCATTGGCAGAAGCATGCAGATGTGCGGAGATGAGCAGCCTGAATCCATGCCGCTAGCGTGACCAGCAGACATCACCTGCGTGAGATTTAAAAGACTTCATCTTTAAACACCCCCCCCCCACACACACACACACACACCTTTCATACTCTAATGAAAGTTTGCTGATGTGATTTCCGCAAATCTTTGATTCACACACTTATCGGCCAGGCCGTAGTCATTCTGGGTCCAGCGACATCCGTGCATTTAATCAGTTACCAAACAGTGCTTGTAAGTACCTGTTCGAAAACAAAGGCGTACCTAATGTATATTATAATGGGGGGGTAACAAATGTTTGGTATACAGCTCTGGAAAAAATTAAGAGACCACTCTATATATACATACATATATATATATATATATATATATA